TAGTAGGAACAAGGAAATATTTGATATTTATAAGCACCAATCTACAATACAGAAAGCAATTTATGTTAATAAACTTTTTTGGAATCACCTACATTTAATAATGAAGTAGGGAACAAACAAGGGTATTTTAGTTGGCATTTAGTAGAAATATTTGTATTCTGAAAGGATCTGCACTGAATAATATTTTCTTCTGATACATTTGAGAGGCCATAAGGTAAAAATAGCAAGGATGATGGATCTTCGACTGTGACTTTCTTTGCACATCAGGCACTAATCAAAAAACAAAATGTCATTTCAACATTAATGTCAGTTGGAGACTATCAGTTTAAAAATATGACAGTAATAACTAGAAGATTCTCTAATCTATTTTTTGAAAACCATTAGGTCAATTACTTTTTTATGTTATTTATTCCACTTTGCCTCCTACACAAATTTAAAAGTAAGAAGTTTTAATTTACTACGTAATTTTATTTTTGCTGTTTTCCTCCCATTCATTTACTTTTTGCTGAAATGTAGATGTCTATGATATGCAATCGTTTCCCATTCCTTATCCCCGTGAATTCAATGCTGGCTGGCTGAGTTCTCTGTTGTGCAACAGCTTCCGAAATAGGGAATCTATACGATAGTTAATTATCATGTAATTAGTGAACACTTCCTTCAGTATTTTATTCTTTAAATCACCTAACCCCTAATTTTAACAATCACACATCACTATTTCATTTTTTCAAGGTAGCTTCAGAGAAGCCTTCAGCCACAAACTGTAGTCCTCCAAAATTTATAAAGGAATTAAACAAATCTTTGGATGCGAAACAAGTTAGGAGAATAATCATAAGAATTGTGAATAAATAAAATGCATTTTAATATAACAAAAACGTATAAAGGGATGAAAATATTAAAACAAGAAAGAAAAATTTTGCCTTTATTGTAATTCAATTACATTATTGTCACTTAGCTTTAAAAATTAGCTTTTTTATACTAACTCACAATCACTCAATATCCAAAGCACAGACAGAATTTCCAAGAAAGAAGTTGAATATTTTAAAGGAAATCAAAAGAAATTTAAAAAATTATATTCCTTCCATATTTACAATAAGAATTCAAAAAACAATTAAACAAATCTTGTATTCTGTGGAACAATTAATTCCTATTAAAAATGGTTATCAAACTCGTAAATCAATCTAGGGGCCACTTAGTCTTTATAATTCCTTTTGCTGCTAATATGAAATGTAACGTTCTCTGCGAAAAAAAACAACTTAAACACATATTTTGATGTACTGCTGAAAGCAATCTAGAAGATTAAATATTCCTCAATGTCCTCTAAATTCACAATATTAAAATACAACATGGAATTATATATACAAGGATGTTACACAAGAAAATACTTTTCTGAATAATTTGAAGATCAAAACAATACTTTTATTTTAGACACCATTAAACAGAATATACACATTAAAACCACATGCTTACAATTTCAAACACCAACTTGCAAATTACTCAGTTCAGCGATATTTATTAGGCTTTGAAAACCAGATCTGGTTAATAAGCATGCGGTAGTTTATTTTAACAAATTAATAACTAATTTACAACTACTTTAGGTGGGTGTGATGGGAAAGTAATGCAATGTAAAACAGTTGGGAGCATGCACAACTATCAAAATAATTTTTAATTGCTTCCCCAATGTTTCATATTGTTTTTAGCAACCAATTATTTACAAAATACTTTTAGAAGATTACAAAATTATCATTAAATCTGCTAGTTCAAACAGACTAAATTACAAAATTAAATGGTCAAATTAGTTCTTGGATTTTGTACATTAGGCACTTAGTTTCTCACCAATTGGATAAGTTCTACCAGTCTTGCTCTAGCAAAGAATTGAAACAATGTTTGTTTCCATATTGCTTAAATTCTTATAAATTAGCAGTAATTAAAAATAGGAGTAAAGGAGAACTCAAAACATAGGAATTTCATCACAGGATATTTTAGGGATTACTCAACTTCTCATTTTTCAAAGCAAGTATTGAGTGTTTTGAATGAAGCCAATGATTTTATTTTGGTGTAGAATACATACATACTAAAAAACAAGAAACAATATAATTAATAATTTAAAAATTTAATAAAAACAATACAATATTCCCTCAACATATACACTGTGAATGAAATAAAATTATATAAATACGAATAACATGTATATGTATACTATTATATTTTAAACATACAGCAATGACAATATTGAAATTTTGTAGCCAGTGAGGCGTGCATAAAGCAGCAGATTCAAATTCATTTTTATGAAACACTATGGTTCAGGCATTTTTTTTTCTTCGATTCCACAAAACACATTTTGTTTACAGACAGGGATGCAAATAACACTGAAACAAAACATCTACCACAATAGGACTATAAACATTTCATGTACCAAGTGATGACAAAAGATCTGATTGATAAAACAGTCTCCATAGATCAAAGATCTACAAAAACAAAATTTCAAGTACAGAATCATTCATTTCATATTACAATTAAAAGATATTTTCAACTTCAAATAACTGTTACACACCTGACTCTCTTCATGTGATTAAAAAAGGTTACTACATGCTTTACAGACCGCTCCTGCTGATATTAATCCATGGAGACTACCAAATCAAAATTTTCATCAGTACAATACAGTACAATGCAGTGCAAAGATAGATACAGGCATTCTTTTATGGTAAAGATTAATGAAAAGATGAAGGTTAAAAGAAGTGATTTATAAAAATTAGCAACTGGGCCATGAGTCTCACTCATGCACATGCATTATTGAGTACATGAACAAGATAGAAATGATATAATGTATGAGCCTACACAGCAATTTTTGGATATCATGTTAAAAGTTGTGTCATTCTTTTCTTTATACAAACAATTAAAATCAAAGACAAACATACAAATCAAAAGAATTAAGTCCTTTGGTCCACTTAAAACTTTCATTCAAAGCCATCACAATAATCCTGTGTGTGGTATGTTCTGTTTCTAGTCATTATATAAGTAGTAGCCGTTATGAAAAAAAATTTGGGGAAAATAAAATTTACTGCAGTTTTAAAGATTCAAGAACTTACAAACAATGGTAAATTTATATTAAACAAATATGCACAGCGCTGGCAATAACATATCAGCATTTACAATGTCCACCATCCACTTTTTTATTAAAAGAGTATATAAAATCTCTGCATTAAACACTAGTAAATCTCTGCATATCTCTCACTGCTCTCTTAAGAATATCAACTCATTACAAGATTTTTTATTTTCTTTGTTCTAGGAATAATCACAAAATTAGATCACATAGGCCTGAATGGATTTTGTACTCTCTAAAGTAGAGAGGCTTTTAATTTATAAGTTAATTTGTCACAAGTTTGTCCCAAAGTATTATTTACAGAGATCATACAGAACAAAGAATTTGTGTGTTATTCACAGCAAAAGAACAAGAAACATAAATGGTAATTATTTGCTTTAGTTTAAAAAATAGCACTAATCTGCAATAAAGCATTCTTCCCTTTTAAATATATACACCAACTTTCATATCACTATTGTGGTGTTTTTGAAATGTTTGGTACATAAACATTCCACACACTTCGATAAATGATTAAAATAGTAACAGTAAAACAAATAACAATATACAGAGGCAAAAGACCTCAAAATATTCTTAAGTATATCATCAATTAGTTGATCCATGATATGTTTTCATACAATTGTTCTGACTAGGAAAATTTGGCATTGGAATTTTTACATCAAGTAATATATTAAAGAAGATTAAAAAGGATTATCTCGAGTAAAAATTAACAGTCAAAACATATTAAATTAAATAAAAAAAAAAAATTAGAATCCACTGAACTCAGATTTAGAAAACCATGTGAAGATTCAGAATATTGAATGCACACACTCCATTACTGACTAAATATTTCCCAAAAATATAAAAAAAAAGTCAATAATTATAAACAACACTAGAGCAAGGATTACCGATTGCAAAGTGGGCCAAAAATGATATTATGACAACAAAACTTGAAAAACATCTCTACCTCTCAAATGTAGGGTATTCTTAATTCCATATATTTAATCACAATATATGTTTTTCCAATTTTTTATGTTCCTTGCACACTTTTTTCGACATTACATAACCTTCAAAATTTCAGTTATAGATTTTCGTTATTCATTTCTATAAAATATTAAAAAAAATATTCTTCTCTTTTAGCTTACAAAACCAATTTAATGAAGACATTCAATCACTTCAACTTCACACAAACTTCAACCATTTTCTTGTGAAAATCTCAATTTTTTTTTCCTGCTATCTTTTGTATTAACCATTCTTGAAATGAATATTCCCATATCATGCCTCTCATGATGGAATTATTTTAATAAAGTGGCATAAATATTTTTTTAAAATAATTTCATGTAAAAACTTACTAACAAGTAATGAATGATATTATTCTATACTCCCACATCAACAATAAAACTTAATATTTTTTCTACATAAAAAAAAACAAATAAACAGATATTCATGAAGATGTATTAAAAGAGACTTTTTTAGACACATCATGGCATGCATTCAGTAGAATCACTCATGTTCAAACCACATACCTTCTTGGAATTAAAAATTTCCTTTGGTCTAGTAAAATGCTTGAGAGGTAACATACTCTGTCATAGAAAGATCAGAGGTAGTGTTGACTTTTCTGTACTTTCAGCTTATATGATAAAAATTATTAGATAAGTAACATAAATGTTTATGTCCAAATTTCTGCAAATTTTGCAGATTATCTTGTTCTCCACCATTCAAAAATTAATCTTTCATTCAACCAACAGAAAAAAAAATTGGTTAACATTTTATTGCCTTTCTGCTCTTATTGTAACTCAGAGCATAAAACAAAAACTTACTTTCACTTTATTACATTATCTTCAGGCAAAAGCACTTTTCTGTGTTTAGACACCATGGGCAACTTCTATTAAGCAAGCATAAGTTTGGTATTTTATAAGATAATTTAGCATGGAGATTTATGTTTAGCTGCATTACGAGCTATGTACTCTAAACGATGTAATATGATCCTTTCAACAATTTTATCTGTAGTCATGTTATTATGAGAATCCAAAAGCTTAAATTTTCCCAGTTGCTTGGGCACTTCATAAGGATCTCTGTCATCATCTGTAGGGTGCACTGGGGTTTGACCATGGCAAACAATATCAACTTTGAAATGTTCCATAAGTTCATTAGTCACCGGAAGAGGAGCACCAATTACAACTTCTGACACATACTTGCATGCTAATACACTAAGAACTCTCTCATGAAGATTCATAATGGGATAGTTGTTTCCTCTGTATCTATTTACAACAGGATCAGTATGAAGGCCAACAATCAAATAATCTCCCTGTGCTCTTGCTTGTTCCAAAAAATCAAGGTGTCCCACATGAAATAAATCAAAAGCTCCTGCTACATACACAATTCTGTCGCCTGGTTTAGGTGGTTTTCCATCACTAAACTGAATAATTTTTTGAGTTGTGGGAAGAAACTGGGAGCAACCTGTCCACGGGCTCCTGGCTAATGAATCTTGACCCATCGTTGAAGAACCTTCTCGCTCAACTTCATATTCATGAGCACCCTGTCGGAAATGTTGCCTTGTTAGAAGCAGCATGCGACCAACTAGATCTGTAGTTGAAATCCCTGCTGTTCGTTGTACTTCTCTGTATCTACCAGCACCCTTGACAAGATGATATGTATCCACCCCATCGGCTGTTGTTGTGATATCATTCCCATGAACACAGAAATCACAATTGTATTTATCTAACGTTTCCAGGGTAGTGACGTAAGGTGCTCCTTCCACAACTTCATCAACCCATTTTATTCCACGAACCATTTTATATCTTTCTTCTTCAGTAAAAACAGGTGGGCCTTTATGTTTTGTGATGTCAGCATCGGTGTGCACACCCACTATTAGACGATCACCAAGAGCTTTGGCCTGACGCAATGAATTTGCATGGCCAAAATGTACCATGTCATAGCAGCCATCGCACCATACACGAATTTCTTTCGAATCACTCATGTTAACGCCGGGCACACGTTCTAGAGTATACTTATTTTAAAATGTTATATAGTAAGGCAAGCAGAGTCAATTATATAACGTCAGCTATCACGCGTCCACGTCACTGCACATCATCAAAGATTACCAATTAAAGTGTTGACTTGGTAAAAGTTTTCCAATTTACATACATTCATAGATTAAAATATTTTTTTAAGAAAATTGCTAGCACACATTGCAACGCATCGCATATCACACAATCCACGAAGCCTACAGGACGGTAGACTTCGTGACACAAACATTTGTTTCAAGCGAAGTCGATTTAAATCGAACACCTACAATCGGAAGCTAAGCCACATGGCCACATCGACACATGAAATTAAGTCAAATTCGTTCCTTGGAGATTATAAAGCGACTAATCCTGTCCATGGATATAATTAGTTTTAATTTTATTACTTTTCTTTTATTTCCAAGTAAATTTACAAAACTATTGTAGGTATTTTTTATATTATTAGGAATATTTTATAATATTTTTGAACTTCTACATTTCCATACAACTGATATCGATATAGTGAGATGATTTTTCTGTAATAAAATTATGTTACTATGTCACGGTCAACTCAATGAAGAGCCATCTGATGAATTTCATCACGCGGGGTCTGATAATTGAGAGTAGATAATTGTTGGGTTTTTTTTCTTCGGTGAAGCAGCTACTATTCTTATTTGGGAGAGAATTGACTCGGCCGGGAAGCTCCCCTCCCAGTAAGTCATGAGAAGAAGAAAAATATTTAAAATTATACGTCACCTTTTCCTTACAGTTTGATATCTTGTGGAAAGACAAAAACAGAATACTTTACCTTTTAGAAACTTCATTGTTGTTCAGAGCTGACAGATCTACAGAATCATTTAATTTGAAATTCGCGCGATTTGAAAAAAAAACAAACACCAACAAACATTGCAGTAAACACAAATTGCAGACTGCATAGATGTATGCACGTGTATGAAATACACTTTATTTGTATGTTAAGGTTAAAAGGCCTTTGACCAGTAAAGGACTGGCAATGGTAAATGGGATCCTTTGGCAGGAAGGGCCTGGGGGGTTGGAGATCCAATTTGCCCTACCTCTCCCCCTCTTACGCCCCTATTATTAGTATATAAGTTGTTTATTAATTTGCATGCTGTATATTTACGATATGGAGCCGCCAGCTTTACTTTCCTTCCTACAGAAGCCTAATCATCTCCATTGCACGAGATCAAGCCTGAGATGTCTAAGATTGTGAAACTGGCAAAAAAAAATAAATAAATAAAAAAAGTCAAATTTTAATTACCATTTTTTTAATTAACAAACATAAAAGTACATGTAATGTCACTAATAAAGAAAAATCTTATAAAACAATGTCAGACTAGTTTATTGCTAATTATCTATTAATATGTCATTAATTTAATAAATTGCATGAGAGTTAAAAGAAGAACATGAGAATATTGATTATTTGAGGTATGGAATGAAAAAGGAATTCATGAATAGAAAATATCATTGATAATGAAAGTGAGGTGAACATCTCTAATTAAATAAATGCTAAGAAGGTAAACACACTTTCAATATGATTACATATTATTTCTTCTACTAAAATTAATATTATGTCTTGTACACTGTTCTACCTAAAACATAAATACTGTAATATTGTTTTGCTGCTGAGCAGGGCCTAGCTAGGTAGCTAGTTGGTCTAGTAGCATGTTGGCTCGAGAAAAATGATTTGCTGCAGATACAGTAGAGGAGACCAAGAAAATAAAATTGTTTATACTTATTACTGTATAGCCATAAACATTATTTTGCAGGTAAGCAATTTGTATGTCATTTTATGCATAGTTTGTGATTTACAGTAGGGAACTTAGATTTTTCATGTATAGGTATAGGTACTGTGCATTATTATTTTACTATTATTTAAATAAAAAATTAAGTTTGTCAGAGGCAAATGAAGTAGCAGTTGAGAGGGAAACAGATGTAGAATCACTGATAATTACTGACACCAGGGAAAGGCCTGCAATTTTCTGCTAGGAGGAGGAGGCGGCATTCAAAAATAAGAGAAGTAAGGGAATAATCAGAGTTGACATGATGAAACCAGCACATGTTCAGATTTTTATTAATGAGTCAAATTTAAAAAAACAACAGTTTCTTTGAGTCCCCATTAGTATGTATTATTTCTAACAAAACTCTTGGGAAAGTTTTATCTTTTCTAAGTTCCTTGATTCAAATATTTCAAAGGATGGACATTATAAACAAGGCACCTGGAAATGAATTGTACCCTGTCAAGAAGAAAATAATTAATTTACAGCAGGAAGCATCAAACTCTAGGGAAGGGATGATCCCTAACCCCCCTTCCCACATGCTGTCAATTTGAACCTTGATTGATACAGTAGTAATTGACAAATCAGTTTATGAACACTTTCATTGAAAAACAGAGTTCAACAATAACAAAGTTTAAATAACCCACAGTGAAAAATTATTCTTGTTCTTCAATAACTGCAAAAATATCAAACTTGAATTTCAAACAAGAAAACTTAAGAAATAAGAAACTCATACCATCTCTAGGTACAAAAATGCACAAGTAAGGAGGCTCACTTTTCAACCTAATACTACATTTGTAATTTTTGTAATACTACATGAATATTATCAATATCTGGCCATTCCAGAAATAAATACCACCTTTTAACACAGCTTTATTACTGAATTTTGGTTTTGTAGTGACTAGGGAAGAATTCTAATTTACAGAATACAAAATCATCTCTTGATGTATAGCCTGATAGTTTCCCAGAAAACCTATCAATTTCATAATTATTTTTTTAATTATTGCGCTTTCTCATAAGTTTTCTTCATCTTTTGATAGAAGAGCTGTTCCTTTTTCATCCAGACTGGACATCTATTTATTTTTTCTATTTTTATATAATTTATTCCCCTTTTTCTTGGGTTCTCTTAGGAGCTTTCTTTCTTTAGTCTCTCTTTATCCTGTTTTTATTTTCTTTCTTTGTGAATGTACTACATCCCCATAAGGGATTTGACATATTTTAGGGAAAGATGTATAGTGTTCAATACTGCAGTACCCGGAATTTACAGAAAAAAAAATGAGCAAATAATAAGCAAAAGCCATCCACAAAATTTCCTGCACACTTCTGTACCTTGAGCTTCGAATACAATAATTGCCTTGCCTATTCATTAACAGATCAATTTGTTTTCAGAACTTACTTAGTGAATAACGGAAACATTAACGTAATATATAAAACTACCATAATCACAATACATGTCATATGAATCTTATCCATATATGTCAGTTTAAACAGTTCACTAGAATTAATAGGGTGTACCCAATTTATTTTACATACGTTATTATGTATGTTTTGGTTTTACAACACATTCAGTAGCATAGCTATTACTTAGTAAGCTGCAACACAGAATATTTAATTAAAAACAAAAAAAAAAAATTATTAGAACATTATGTGCTTATTGATAATTTTCCAATTCATTTTCCACATTGCATACCTGTCTTTCAAGGTTTTGCGTCTAGAATTTCCCGCTTAATTGCTAACTTCAAGTTCTTGAAGGTTCTGGTTGGAGTCTGGTTTGCTTCATTCAATTTCTCGTAAAGTCTTCTACCTACATAGGGGATTTCAGAAAGATGCAACAAAATTAATTTTTTCCCAAATATCTCAGTTATTTTCGCAAATAAAGGCTTCCTTTTGTTTTTGTTCTATCCCGAAAAATATTAGTCGGATTGGATTCTAGTTTGCTTTATTCAATTTCCCGTGAAGTGTTCTACCTATACACTGGATTTCAGAAAGAAGCGAAGAAATTAATTTTTTTCCAAATTTCTCATGGATTTTCGCAAATAAGGCTTCTTTTTGTTTTGGGTTAATCTCCGAAACTATTAGTCGGATTGGAGTCCGGTTAGCTTCATACAATTTCTCGTCAGTGTTCTATCTATATATGGGATTTCAGAAAGAAGCAACGAAATTAATGTTTTCCCTTATTTCTCACAGATTTTCGCAAATAAGGCTTCCTTTGGATTTAATCCATCTCCAAACTTATTAATCGGAATGGAGTCCGGTTGCTTCATTCAATTTCTCGTCAAGTGTTCTACCTATGCACAGCAGGTTACTATATAACCAGAAACTTCATTTATAACTCAAAATAAACAGTAAAGTACATTCAATCTCATGCGCTAATTTCATCGCTGTTTTTAGTTTAGGAGATAGAGCCTATTGAATTTGACTATTCTCAATGCGTAGAGAATTCCAAAATACCATGCTTTCGAGTCAATGTACCTAGAAAGCACATTTTTCATCCGTATATGACAAATGATATTTTCTGACACTATATACATTTTGAAACAAGTTAGTGATTCTAGAATTGATATATGTTGCATAGTTTGTGAAATATGGGCATTTCATTTTTGTGTTAAAAATGTAGTTTTATAGATTCATGGATCGTCGAAATTTTCCGATTTTCGAAATGATACGTATTTTTCTGAAAATCAGGGTCCTAGAACGAAATTCATGGCGGATACACTGGTGATATTAATTTTTCCATTTGAAGCAACTTTTTTCAGAAAATCGCCAAACTTTCTCCATAAACGTCAATTTCTGCCAAATAGTGTAGAAAATTGCTATTTCTAGCAGGTTTCTATAAACCCAGAAACTTTATTTAAGACTCAAATTAATGAGTAAAGTACACACAATCTCCTGTGATAATTTCACCGCCGTAGCGTAAATTGTTTAGGAGATAGTGCATATTGAATTTGAATATTATTTTCAAAGCGTTGAAAATTGAAAAATACAAGGCTTTCACGTCAATGTAACTAGAGGGCACATGTTTCATCCGTATATGACTAATAATGCCATTTTATGAAACTACATGAATTTTGAAACTAATAAGTGCTACAATTGATACATAGTGCATAGTTTGTGGCATATGTAAATTTTTGTTTCTGTTAGCAAATATAAAGTTTCGTCGATTCATGTATCGACGACAT